TCGAGAATTTTTCAAAGATAGCGAAACCACTGACAAAACTAACAAAAAAGGATGAAAAGTTCGCTTGGACAGCAGAACAACAGAACGCATTCGAAACATTAAAAGAAAAGTTAACGACCACACCAGTTCTAGCTTACCCGGACTTCACTAAACAATTTATAGTAACGACAGATGCATCCGGATACGCTATCGGAGCAGTATTGTCACAAGGGCCAGTAGGCCAAGACCGACCAATTGCATACGCAAGCAGAATTCTGAATAAAGCGGAACAAAACTATAATACAACAGAGAAAGAATTGCTAGCCATAGTATGAGCCGTCAAACACTTTCGACTGTACCTTTATGAGACAAAATTTCAAATAATTACAGACCACAAGCCATTGATTTGGCTATTAAGTATAACAGACTCTGGTTCACGATTAATCAGATGGAGGCTCAAATTAGAAGAGTACGACTATGAGGTGGTACACAAGGCCGGTAAAGGCAATACAAATGCTGACGCGCTCAGCAGAAACCCGATCGCCCGACACACAGATAAACAGCATCGAGCGCAACAAGGAAGAGCGCGAATATAACAAAGAAGATAAGAAACAAATAATGTACGAATATCATAATGCCCCCCTCGGAGGACATCAAGGCGTAACATGTACCATAAATCAAATACGACTAATGCATAACTGGCACGGACTAATACGAGATGTGGAAGAATACATCGCCAAATGTGAATATTGTCAGAAAAACAAACTGAGCAAGAAAACCAAAATGCCTCTAGTATTGACCAACACGGCAGAAAGACCGTTTCAAAAATGCGTCCTGGACATCGTAGGACCACTCACGGCCATGAAAAGAAATAAATACCTAGTAACATTCCAAGACGACTTAACAAAATTTAATAAAGCAATACCGATATCAGACCAGGAAGCAAGCACGATTGCCAAAGAATTCACCACAAAAATAATATGCGAATTCGGAATACCGGAGACAGTACTGATAGATCAAGAAACTTCGTCAGTGAAATGTTCAAGGATGTATGCACCCTCCTAAAAATGACAAAAATTCAAACAATCGCGTACCATCCTGAAAGTAACGGAGCCCTGGAGAGATCGCACAGGACTCTGATCGAATACTTAAGGCACTATATAAACGAGGATCAAACCAACTGGGATGAATGGATCCCATACGCGATGTTCACATATAATACGACACCGCATACAGCAATGGGCTATACACCGTTCGAATTGATGTACGGGTACCGAGCAACACTACCTACGGCCCTGACAGCGCCGCCGAAACCATACTATACATATGATAACTACGCGCAAGAACTAAGAGAAAGACTCAGAGCCACACAGAAAGTAGCAAAAGAACATATTCGCGAAGCAAAACGAAAGGCAAAAAACTGTGCAGATAAAAATACGAACACTAAAACCTTCAAAGTGGGAGATAAGGTCCTCTTGCATGATGAAGCAGTGCGTAGAGGACGATCAAAGAAATTGGAAGCAACTTGGATAGGACCATACCAAATAACCGAGAAAATCTCCAATGTGAATTACAAAATCAAACAGAAACGAAAAATTACGACGGTACACGCGAACCGACTTAAACTATTTATTGAGGATTAGGAAACAATCGCGTATGAATAATTACCTGCGAAAAGCAGAAAAAAAGAGAGGGGGAACTTACCAGTCACGCAGGACGGAGACGAAATGTTGGCCGATGGCAACACAAATTTGCACCCGCAAAGAGTTGCGGAGATAGAACTCCTCGCAGACGGGCGGAGGGGGTGTAGGGGACCTCTCGACACAACTGATCGCTCGTGGAACACGGGGACGATATTTCTCCGTCCAGACGACCGTGGACGATCACTTGGACGACACTCTCATCACACGTTGGGCCGCCAGGCGGTATGACCGCCGCACGCACTCGCCACACATAATGGGAACAGACTCCCACACCTAGTGCACTGCATAATTGAAAACTCAAAAACAAACTAAAAGCCTTCCACGACGCGCAACAGACCACGGTCGACGGCAGACTGAACAAAATAATTTATAATATTAAACGTATCACACAAAAAAATGCACGATTAGGATTCACGGAAAACTTGAGCCCTAAACTTGCAGGATGCTCCTTGTGTGGAGAAGAGCAATACAAGCGACATCTGATTCTCGGCATGCTCTTGACTAGGAATTGTTCTCGCACCAGCCAGGAATCTACTACGAGGAAATCGGTCAGCTGAGACAGGCTGAATCGGCATGGAAATTAGTGATAAAACTGAGCGCAAAAGAATTAGAGATCAGACATCAGCAATTGCAAGACTATATGGAGGAAACCGCAATACAGTGCCGAAAAGTAATAGGCAACGTTCAGTTAGGTTGCCGAAATATTATGAGGATAATAGAAAAAGAAAATACCAAGCTGATCACGCTGTTGACACAAGTAGAAACGCTATACAAAACGATTGACAAACGACGAGGACTGCTAGATGCGGTTGGGTCGGTCAGCAAAATATTGTTCGGAACGATGGACGCCAACGATCAGAAACTAATAGACGAGTAATTGCAAACGTTACGAACAAACGGCAAGGTACTGCAGCACGCAGTAGCAAATCAAATAAGAGTAATCAACGCCACAATAGCGCACTTGGACGAATTAGAAAATACTCCAAACTATAACGAAAATCTGATAATGAGTGCGACAAAATGACTAGAGCAACGGTTGACTAAGTCCACACTACAGGCAGATGTAGACGAACACTTACTAATAATCCTGACAACAATAATGAATGATTTAACGAAGGACATGGAAAATGTAATAGACTACCTGACATATGGGAAAAACGGAATGATACCGACACGACTATTACCCATCAAACACATAATAACAGCCCTCAAAGAAGCGGCTACACCACAATTAACCATGGGATTACACTTTCCTTTTAAAATCCAGACTGAGCACTGGCAGACAATACACACATACATTACTTTTAGCGCGTATTCAGATGGTCCATACGTATACACAATCTTGCGATTTCCGGTAGTAGCATACCGTACATTTAAACTAGTTAAGGCAATACCGTTACCGGTACACGACCATGCGAATGTATTCGCTTACATAAAAATAAACCATCCTTTGTTAGCTATAGATAAAGAGAATCACCACTACAAATTACTAGAGGAAGTAGAGTTAGAACGCTGCATACGAGAAAGAAACATATACACATGCGAACAGAACTTCGCGACATATTATGCGGAAACAACAGCACCATGCGAGATGCAAATATATACACATACACCAGGACAGCTCAATTACTGCAAAAAGAATCATATGATATCTAACACACTGTTGTGGATAGCATTGACGGAGGAGCAAGCGTGGCTCTACTCCACGGCATATAAACAGGAAATTAACATTAAGTGCGAAAAGCAAACAGAAGAAAAAATTATATTAGAAGAAACCGGAAAAATAAAACTAAAAAATAATTGCAAACTAATCACACCAAACGTAATATTAAAAGCGCGAAAAATTGAGGGAATAAAATATATCCAAAACTACCTCCCCGAGTACAATATAACATTAGAAATAAAAAATAGAGACACCGATAAGAATAAGCTAGCAAAAACCGACACGTTACGACAAATAATTAAGAAGTGTAGACCTAACCAAGTTAAGCGTAAGTCTAGAAGAAATAAGAGAAACTCTAGAAAATAGCGATTATGACTTACTCAAAAATAAATACACTGTATACTCTATGGGAACAGGCACCTGCGTAGTGATAATAACTATAATAGGATTAATAACATGGCGCACAAACAAAAACAAAAATAAAAAGCAAAAGAAAAGCGAGACCGCACAGAGACGCCGCGACGATGCTATGTTGTATTAGTCATAAGCATACGATTATATTACAGTTACGCGACAACATATGTAAACTAGCAAGTAAGATCACCTTCCATCGAAGGGGGAGGGATGTCGCGAACGCCAAGTAAGGGACACATGGAATTCGAAATTCTCTGTGGTTCCCTTATATCAAAGGGGGAGGAATATCGCGAGCGCCGAGAACGCAATCACGCTAACAAAGCGGATTGCGGCAAGCGATACTTTATGAATTATTATTTTATCAAGCGATAGCGATACCAACGCTACCGTGCTAATCGCGCATTTATTGTGTAACCGTTCCACGTGAAGCAACTGCTAACCGCGGCCCTTATGCAAAAAGCCGCCGCGCGACCCAGAAATATATCGCGAACGCTGCCGAACATTTTGATGACACGGCAAGGACCGGCCGCCTGGAACAGGATAAAAACGGGAGACCGATACTAGGAGAGGACTCGTCGAGATCCGCCTTGCCGTCACGTCTGTCGCGGTCCGAATTAAGAAGGACAACCTGTATCAATTTTAATAAAGTTTATTGAGTGTTGAACAAAATGGTGAGTGCCTCTTTCCCGCCGACTCCTTGGTCGATCCCCGTAACGACCCGCACAACAATTTGTCGTAAACACCTAGTGTAAATAGCTAGCTTATAAGTCTTTCTCTTGTGCCGTATAGCGACTGTCTTTCCTTCCGCCCGATTCCGCTAGATACCGATCGCTATTCCGTTCCTGCGAACTCTGTATCTCTCGCTATTTCTGTAGATTCCGCTTCTGCGAGTTCTGTATCTTTCGCTATCGCTGTAAATACTACTACTTCGCTTCTGTGAGTTTTGTATCTCTCGCTATCTCTGTAAATATCACTAGTCTGCTTCTGCAAGCTTTGTATCTCTCTCTCTCTCTCTCTTTCTATCTTTATAATTACCGACTGCTACTCTGCTTCTGTGAGCTTTTGTATCTCCGCCTACCATTGTAAATAACGTCCGAACACTACACTGCGCCAGATCACACGCCTACCATTGTAA